CTGAAACTTTACAATAAAATCTGATATAACAATCCTTCCTTGGCATGTGTCTTTGGAAAGGACTTTATGGTTTATGAAAAGTCCTTATTTATACTATCAACATCACTTCCTTTGGCACAATTGTTCACATAATCTGGATCTTTATTTTTATCCCCTCAACCTAGATCTTTTTTTGATAGTTTGGCAAAATAGCAAATGAAACTTTCTTTAAACATGTACTTTTCATCCAATTTTGGATTATTTTGGCCTTTACCTTCCTATGCAATTCTAGATCCTCATCTTCCTTCAGTGCTCCATTTCTCCCATTGTGCTTGATTTCTGCAGTTGAATTTCAACCAGGCCAATCAGCAAACAGAAGGAGTTGTGAACCCAATAACAGTGAAGAGGTGAACAAAGTCATTCAGTTCATGTTGGCCATACCTAAATATTGAACAATTTAAAGTCGGGGCAAGAGGAATGTTGGCAAAGATGTTCAAAGAAAAAAAAATACAACTAGGCAATAATTCAGTGAACATGGGAGCCAGAGAGAAACTATGTTTATCTTTTCTTTGTGCAGATGAGATGCAGGTAGCCCAGAAGGCTTACCGGGTTACCTTAAATATTGATGGATGATGATAAATTCATGTTGCTGGTGAACTGCTGAAGCAGATCAAAACAGACACTTAGCTACTGGAGCAAATGCCCACCTGTCCAAAAAGTAAATAACTGCGTTTCAGATAATGGTAGAAACAAAAGAAGTTTGTGTATTTTGTATGATTTTTTTGTTTGTTTTACATTAAACTGATTTCTATGAGTGTGGAGGAGTGTGGCTGTTTAAGCGTTAGTGCCACACTGCTCCCACTAATTTATTCATAGTTTTAAGTTTTCTGCTCTATTTTTCATAAAATGTTCAACAAGCAAGAGTAATTTTCCAACGAATTGTGCTTTCCTCAGTCATAAATAATTCATCATATGCTCTTTTTTGTGCCCTACAATCAATGGTTTTCTTTCGAACCCTTCTTCTTCAAATATAACAATATGTTTACTTACTGTATGTGGTGAATGATATCCTCAAATATGAATGTACTGTTAGTTGAAGATCAATATAAAATTGCTTAACATTGTTTAGATTAAGTGATTAATGAAGTTTATTTGCCTGAGCTTCAAAAACTACCATTGACTGTGTCTGTCGTATTTTTTTTTTCCCCATACATGAGTTTTGTTTCTAGCAGCTGCGGCTTCGGTGTGAATCACTTATTTTACTGTTATCAATTGGAAAATTAAAGTGCCATTTCTAAATGGGGAGTTCCAGAGATAACGCTGATTTTGTAAAGGGCGGGTGGGTGGAAAACTAACTGAATTTCCTACTCTTTAGCTTGTGGTTCATTTTGCTGAGGCAAATTGTCTCATTTGAGAGACTGTATTCACGGGTTTGAAGAGAGTAGGTGGAGGTCAGGGAGAATGAAACAGAGAAAAGGAGTAGTGGGTGCAGGGTCGGACTGAGGAACAAAAAAAAGTGATGAAATAGTTATTATACTGGAGAGGATATGGATAAAGAGAAACACAAATGGGCTTTTATGTTACCGCTGCCTTGTAAACAACATGAGGTTCAAAAAAAGGAGAAAAGAAAAACAGGTTGTGTGTGAAAGGATGGGAGGGCTTTGGTGGTTTACTTCGCAGGCAGGGATTGAAGTGAGGTAGTTAGGGGGGATTATGTGGCGAGCTGAGTGAACCCTGAAGGTGGGGGTGCAGCTTTCGAAAGGGTATCGATAGATCTGGTGTTGTCCCCACTTCACAGCCCTCATCAACCCCACTTGCAAACATACCACACCTCTTCACAAGCTGAAGAAGTCCCGTCTTTCATGGTGTACTCGCACACATAAGCTGATGAACTCTGAGATGGTCAGAGCACTCTAGGCTCTCTGCCTACTGAATAGAAGAGTTTAGACACTACTGAATTGGCCCTTCAGAAAGGGGCATTCTCCTTTAAGTACACAACTTCTTTGGGCTCTGTAAAAACCCATGCATAGTCAAGGATTTGGGCCTCTTTTCTATGGATTGGTGGTATACTTGTATGAACTGAAGTTTGGCAAAGTTGAAGTCACATTTACAGAAACATATGCAACTGGAAAAACAATACTCTAGGGTTCAAGAAAGATGTTTGAGGAGCAAAATTAGATCAACAGCCAACATAAAATGTCACTGGGAAATATAAAACTTAACTTTTTAAAGTAAACATTTATTTTAAAATACTTTGGATGAAAGAAAAAATGGATACCAACTTTTCATTGACTCTGGACTATTAAATAAACAAAAGTACATGACTATGCTTACTGATATTCACAAAGAATGATCAGAAATGTAGGATGAAATTCCCAGTTCACTTTTACGAACAAATGCATTTGTCTGACAATTTGTTATTGTGTATTAATTAACAATTTTGTTCTGAGAGAAACTGCTCACCAACTAACTAATTGACTGACTGACTAACAAGACTTTTTGTATGACATGTCAACTCTTTGCTTTTACTGAAGCCTCTAAGCTCCACATAGCATACATTAGCATAACCACGAGGCCCATCCCATTTCTACAGGATTAGTTCAGCTCTCCTCCCACTGTCTGATGGCTCTTTATTTAGATCGACACAGCCTGTTAGAGGTCCTCACTATACCATTACTACTAGAGTCATTATCATTCACCGCGAGAAGGAATCAGCTCATAGAGACTTGCCTGTTTAGCATGAGACTGACATCTCATTTGTAACGGTTTAAAAAGGGTCTCCCCTTTAGATAACAACAGACTAACGGGTAAATTCCCAGCTGATCCATCTTTGTGGCAAAGACTGATAGGTGATCCAATATTAAGATATTTTTAGGACACTATTGTTTACATGATTTTATACATTTATTATAATTTCAAAACTTATTTTATCGCTTTTATAAAGATTACTGTTGCTAACTGAGTACGGTGTTCTTATGCATACCTACATTCACTTTATATGACCCCCTTGATAATTGATTAGTACTTGTCTTAACTTACTTCCAAGGATGATTTTATGTATTTTCCAGGCACATAGTGTCATTTATGGCACAATCAGATTACTATGCAACATTCAGTTATTATCTTTTAAGTTGTCAAACAACTTAAAAGAAACTTGACAGAACAATTTGATGCATTGAAATTTCCCTCTGTCTCTTTAAGAAGCTCCTGCTCTTTATGACACTCTGCCCGCAGTTATCCCAACAATCCTCCATTAAAACATTTACAGCCATTCTTAGGAGCGCTGGTCTGAGAAGTAGTTGATAATATGAGCTCAGAAAATACACCATTCCAACTTGCTTATTGCTGCTGCCATTAATCTGATGGAGCTGAGTGAGGCTGCATCCCCTCCGCATCCCCATGGAGGAGCTATGTGGAAGTAGGCAGCGCTTTGTGAGAGCAAGACTTTAGGCAGCCCTGACTAGATGCACGGAAAGATTCAACGTGTCAAACACACACGAAAGAATCTCAGCAACACTCCAGGTATGTTTTGATGAGGAAATAACATCACAACTCCCATTCCTTAAACTGACCGTTGAAAGTGAACTGGGTCATCACCACATCAAAATGAATCTGAGATATTTTGCCTATTATTTAGATAGTCCCATTTAAATCAGAAGTCTTTATATTCCCACTACTAACATTTCGAGTAAAATAAATTTTTGACAGAATCATTGAAATAGAAACGACGGTAGTCATTTTGTCCTCTAACGAGTGGGTTGCTGGTTCAAACCCCACTCCAACCGCTTCATGAGCAAGACACTTCATTCGCCTCACTCCCTGGTGGGGGTCAGAAAGGCTTGCTTGTGTCAGTCTGCCCCAGGGCAACTGTGGCTACAATGTAGCTTGCAACCACCAGCATGTAAATGACTGAATGAGTGTGAAGTCCTTAGGGGATCATGGGCACATGATTTAAATAAAAATTCTTGTCAGGAAAGGTAATCCCTTAAGGAAAGGGACTTTGCAGCCTAGTTTTAAATCAGGACATTAAAGTTCACAGATGAAAATTTCAAATAAAACAAAAGAAGGGAGAAAAATAAAAAAAATGAAACATACTTTGGTCTCTCATCAGAAATGCTGAAATCAACCTTGTTGTTCTGTCACATTGCATATTTAGGTGAACAGTTGTACAGTCATGTCACATGTAACTAAGCAATAAAAAAGAAAAAAAAAGAAAAAGAAACCCTTCAAACTCAGAGATAATCCAGGAATGTAAACAAAATGTTCTTGCAAATAAACCCATTGTATGCAAAATAAAAGTAATTTATTTGCAATTTAGTATGTCTTAAAGTATTGACAAAGATTGTTATGTCCATAGATGAAGAAGTATCTTGTGCCAGACGTAGGATGTCAAGCAGCAGGTGGATTTCCCTTCAGTAATAACGTTTGTCCACCAGCCTGCTTGTTGTCTTGAGATAACATCCTTTTAATTAGCCAGTGAGTGGACTGAAGGATGTTAGCTGCCAGGCCTTGCTGGTATGACTAGTTGATTTTAGAGATACTGAGCATATGGAGCCAGTCAAAACTAACAACACAGCTATCTCTTAGGAGTTTCATGCCTCCCAGCCTCTATCTGTCATAGAGCATAGAGCTAAAATAAACAAAAACTAGAGTAATGTTTTTAGACTTGTGCAGCGATGTTTTTACATGTTTAGTAGGATAATCATTGCGTAATAACACAAATTCTAAATAAAACTGTAAAAAATATATATATCCTGTAAAATCACTGCACAAACTGAAAAATCATTTTTTTCACTCTTTTTGACCTTTTTTCTTGCACTCACCCTTTGTTTCCAACAAAACTAACAGTTTTCCTTTCACTCGTGCTATCTTTGCTTGCTCTTACTCCTCTGCCGCCTACTCTACACTTGCTTTACTTCTCAGTCCCCCGCCACCACCCATCTCTCTCTCTCTCTCTTCCTCTCGCTCTCTCCCTCTCCTTTTCTCCCACACTCTCTCTACACTCTGACTGGGGTGTTTGCCTCAGCTGTTCTCAGTTGCACTGGGTGCCTTGTGGTGTTGTGACAGAGCTGTGTTGCATTGAGTGAGACTAAACTATCTCAAAGGAGCGCTAAGTAGAGTGGGAGACAAAAAGAAGCCAAACCATTGAGGACTCACCAGGCAGATGGAATGAACAGCTGAAACAATTTGGACCAGTTTTACTTTTTTGTGGCTAAAGGTGCGGCCAAGTAACATCATGGATGGGTTATACACCTACATTCTGCTTAGATGCCAAAGGTGAAAGGTAGTCAAAGCATAATTAAATTCTCTTGGTATTTAATGTGTGACTAGTTCTAATTTATTCTCCTTTTTTGAGTCAATTACAGTTTGTTCTGTTAAGTTTGCAGCAAGTAGTCAAAAAATCACAGTTCCAGAGGCAGCAGTCCATAAACCTAACTCCCCTGTGTTGGATTCGACTCTTCTTTAGTTGGACTCTAATTTTGGCTTTGACCTGTGGAACAAGAAAAGTTTTTTTTTTTGTCTTTTTTTTTTTTTTTTTTTGCTCTGGCAAGACTTGTTATGAGGCAACCTGGACTGACTCACCAGCATTTCTTTGTACTTACTGGACAACAGGACTGTTTCTGCCATCGTTTCCTGCCAAACCGGGTCTGAGATTGCCTGCCCAGGGGTTGTTTATTTAAAGGACTTATCTGGAGTTTTTTGCCTTCAGGATCATGGGGATTCTCTGGGGTGCCATAACACTTCTGTGTGGGGTGGCTGTGCTTAGAACAGAGGGCAGCGGACCCACACAAACCAAAAATAACGTGCCTCGGCTAAAACTCTCTTATAAAGGTATGTCTCAGATTTTTATTATCATTTCACTGTTTCTATTGTTTTCTGATTTGTAAACTTATAAGATATCTCTTTAGCTTTGCCAAGTTCATGTTTCAATGTGTTTCAAATGCTGTGTAAAAGGGAGTAAGATTGTTAAACTCTTCTGAAAAATAAAATTACAAATTATAAATTCTTTATTGAGTAAGTGAATAATTTCTTTATGATCAAGACATTTACCAATATGGGCAATCAATGTGCATTAGTTCCACTGTATGACACATAAGGCAGGGTGTGTTGAATTTGTATAGGTGAATAGTATTTAAACCATTTCTGTACAACACCGTTATTGAAACCATAACGATACTGAATGCTGTGAATCTAGTTATTTCATCTGAAATAACTAGATTCATCTCACCTTGTTCCAATGACAAGCTTGTTGCTTGCCATGTTCGAAATGTTCACATTATGACACAGCAATTATCAGAAACTAACTAATTGCACATATTGATAATTAATTATTTAGACCCATCACTCCAAGAAGATTTTCACTTAGTTCAATAAAATCCCTCAACATGCCTGACCTGCCAGTTCTGTGTCACTGATGCTAAGCAGTTTGTTGCAGAAGACCAATGCCTTCATACCTCTGTCCCTGTTTCGATCAACTGCTGTTGTCTATTTTGCAGTGGAAACATGGCAGATTCCCAGGCTGCATCATTTATCCTTCTCTCATTTTTTTTTTAAATTTTATTTTCTTGAATGTCATTTTTTCTGCTTCATTCTCTCCTGCATGGTAATTATACTCAGATGAATGGTGAACGGTCTGTTTCACCAGATGGCTGTACCAAAGTGAAATGTTTTTCGCTTAGCGCTGGGGGATCCATAATTATAGACACGAGTGTGCCCGTACGCAGACACACTTGCATGCATAAATACGTTGCCATCTGCAGAAAGCAAATGATACCTGCAAGGGTATCAGTCATTTGAAACCACATGCTGTCAGTTTGGTGAAAGCCGCCCCTGCACTGAAATCTCTATTGGAAGCCCCCCAGGTATCAATTTGACCAGCTTGCTTATTTGGGCTGCAGTCCATACTTTTAATATTTGATTGTGCCTTCATTTGAATTTTGGCTGCAGGGGGCAACGCTTTGCTTCCTTGTGCTGACTGGGGATTTTTAATCTAAGTGTAGTCAGCAGGTACTTACAGTGCTGTGAAAAAGTATTTGCCCCTTATAGATCTCTCCTATTATTGCTTTTTCTCTCATTTAACTGCTTCAGGACATAATACAGATGTTAATATCAGATAGTTACATATCATTCAGTATCTGAAGAAAGCTTCTGAGACCATTTCCCTTTGCTGTGGCACATTCCAGCCACTGTAATTTCTGAAAGTTTAATTAATGACAAAATCTGGACTGTCTGGTTAAATAAGTCATCAAATAGAATATATCATAAAGTATATTGAATAAAATATGTCTCCTGGTAATTACCAGTTTGTAAAATTTAATTAATTGTCCGACACAAAAATGAATATATCTTAGTCTTAACAAAACTTACAGACACCAAACCGTTTATTGATTTATATCAAGGGAGATTACGCATTTTACGTATCAAAGTATTGGCACATTTTTCCGGGTTAATTTAAGCTACATTTTACAGAAGTTGGACAATATATAAAGGCTCTACAATGTTTCTGACAATTTCATGCTTGTTCAGCATCAGACCAATAATTACTAAATACATCTGCAGGTGTGCGTCGCAAGAAATAGCAGGTAACAGGTGATTTTCTATCCAGTACTATCCATCAGCTTGCTTGATTCGTTGTGGTTGTTAACAAATCCATGAGTAGTGTAGACTGCCTAGCACAGTTGGTGCTCGGGAAATTTTGTAGCGAAGACCAGCATATAGTACTTACTTAGATTATCTTTGTTGGATATTCAAATATGCTTGATCTGAAAGTTTTCATTGTAGCAATAAAGAAAAACCAGAAGAAATCTGGATGGACAAATACTTCTTTATGCTTTTTCCTTCTACAATGTTCATGTGTCCAATCTGGTGCAAATCTTGTTTGAATGGTAGTCTAGCATTTCGACTGATCTGGTAATCACATTAAAAATCACATGAAATCAGTTGATCACAAGTTGTTCATTTCATGCTTATAATTTTTGTTCCACCAGTGAGAAGCAAATCAACATTACTCATAAAAACAAAGTCAGAATATTCACCTGGGTGAAAGGATGTCAAGTCCTTAGGCAGCAGCATCTGATCAGTCACACATGGGATGGAAAGGTTGAAGGAGCTCTGACCTCTACAGGTCATGGAGAATACTGGGAACACATTTAAAGTTGAGACTGAGTTTGCTTCAGTGTGTGTGTGAGAGAGTAAAAATCTGCAAATTTCTCACTTCGAGAGTCTTTGCTCCTCTGAACACAACATAGAAGTGAACCCTACCAACAGCAATCTACATACAATTGTATCACCCCCTACTGTGAGACACATAATTGTTGAATTCATGGATTACAACTAATCTTTAGAAAAAAATGGTCTAATACGCAGGATGAGAAATAATGCTACTGCATGAATACACCATAAAGTCCTACTGTATCAACAACTGGTGATAATGAGGATGTGTAAGTCAGGAGGTGGGGACTAAAAGTGAACTGCAGAATCAAACAGGTTTAATGTATGTTATGCTTGGGCAAATATTGTGAACTCACACCCTGTGGATGAATTGGTCCTTTGGGGGGAGCAAAGAGGGATTTATGGTTTTGAGGTTTGTGGGTCACAAAAACCAAAGCACATGTTGTTAGCTGTCAAGAGCGACACTTGAGTTTGTAGGTTGTGATTGTCCTGCCAAAAGAGCACTTTTCTTCTTTACCCTCTATCACTTACACATCTTTAGTTAAGCAGAGCCCAGAACTTGCATCAAGAAGCACACAGTCTTGCTCCTCTGTACAAAAAGAGCAATGAACTGAAAATGAAAACCACATTCCTCTGCAACAGAAAGACATTTTTTGTTCCTTGTTTTCACTGCGGTGTACAATAACCCTTGATCAGAACTGAAGTATGTAGAAGTTTTCCAAAAACACCCTTGATGTGCATTGAAAATAACATAGTAGAGCTGGGTTTCTCAAGGTCTGTACAGTAGTCTGAGAGATAAAACAATACTCTTCTTGAGATTTGCAAAGTGTACTCATTCTCTTGTGTTACCCAGATGTAGCCCTAATAATCTGTAAACATGGTGAGCATTTGCTTCACAGTGTTCTGGTTTTTACTTTAGATTTACCTCCGGAGACTTTCAGATCAGTCTTTATGCCAGTTCTGATTAAAATCATGAATACGGTACAGTGAGAAGACAGTTTCAGCCTGTTTAAGAATGCTTACACAATCATGACTGCCAAAGGATATTGGCTCACAAGTCAATGTATAACATGTGAAAAAGGATGAAGAAAAAATAAAAATAAAAAAAGTCATTCTATGGCTTATGATGTAAAAGTAAGCAATTATACATTATTAATAATTCTGTTAATAGTATTACGCAGTTTAAAAGATGGTTGGAAAACATGTAGAAATGTTTACAAGAATTAAATTGAAACCATAACGATATTGAATGCTGTGGGGATATTGGATAACATTTGAAAAATGTGCAATAAAGCAGGAGCAGTTTGCATTGTTTCAGATAAGAACTTTGCTTTTTTACCTGACAAGGATTAAATGACCTCACCGACGCTTTGTGGTGTTTTCCCCGAGGTGCTATGGAATTTGTGGCTGCAGAGTCTGTAAAATAACTCAATGAAATGTTGCTCTTAATCATGTTGTAGTGGACTTTAACACTTTCAATTTGAGCTGAAAACAGAAATGACTGCTTATATCCAAGTTCCTCCAAAATGTCTAACGGTTTAATCAGTCATTTCTGTCTCCACATATGTGTTGCCCCAAGGCCATGACTTTGTACATGACTTTGTCAGTTATTATATTGAATAATTTTGTCTGAGGGCCTGCTAATGCATATTAATGTACATATAGATAAGCTTATACATATAAATAACATTCTGGATAAAGTCAGAAAGATTTTTGGGAATCAATAATTAGTCATAGTGATAGGGCCAAACTTTGATTGTGAAATGAGTCATGAGTTACTATGTCAAAAGCAACAAATTCTTGAGAGTTTTATCTAGAAAAATAATACAATGTATTTGTATTAATCAATCCTTTCAAATCTTAACATACTAAATTTGCAATGTATGCAAATAGTGTTGAAAAAGAGTGCTTATTTTGCATTACAGCTTAGGAATTATATTCAAAACTACAATGTCTGTGTCTTACAAAGCACTTAGATAACATTCCCTGTGCCCTCCAGAGAAAGCAGAATAGAGAAAGACAGGAAGAATGTAGGGTAAAAGATTTTATTTATACCATTCTCTCAAGGGAATGTTGGTTCTTTGCATCCATTCCATCTGCCCCCTTATTGTGCTTTCTCTTTGTCTCTTGCTTTCTATTTCTGACTCCTCTTTGTCTCACTCTGAATAAAAGAGGAATGTTGATTAAATATTGGTTTTATTATTTACTAATAACTTTATGTTTCTTCCTTGAGAAAAAAGTATTAAGAGACACAGTATGTGCAAATGCATGAATAGTTGCACATGTTTTTTTTTTTTATTTCAATTATGGGGTGTGACTGAACAGTTTACAGGAGTGCACTGGTCACATTTTAGAAGTCACTCATTTACATATCCATCTGCTTGAATGGTCATTTCTTCCTTTTAGGTATTGTGAAACTATCTGTTGGAACAGAAACTCAACCAAAACAGGTTTTGTGTAGGATCATAAATTCAGGCTCTTGGTTTTAAAGTTGCAGCTTAAACAGCAGCAACATAAATGCTTCTTTATCCATGAATACCCATTTGATATGTTTATCCAGAGGGGACACTGGTTGAGACATGTATAGGCCACTACCTGTAGAGCGACATGGGAACATCCAATTTTTTTTCCTGCAACACACACCAGCCAACTTGATAAACATACATTACACACTTCCACACACAATTCCCAAAGTGTATCTGCCTCTGGCTGATTGGGTTCTAATAACTTAGCTCTAGTCTCTGTTGAATGGTTTGTTGCCATGGACACTTCTCCCATGGATAATTTTGTAAAAAACCAGTGAGGTGTGTACAGAGAGTGAAGATGTGGTCCTCTGCTTTTTTATACAATAACTTGATCAGCACAACCTGTGTGTGAACATTTTTTCCTTACATCAATTAATGTGTTGTTTAATTTGAATATGTGTTTTCAGATGTTCTCTGTCTTTTCTTGGTCAAAGTTACAGAAAGGCAACTACAAAAACATTACTCCTTCAGAGAGAACCATCAAATGGGAGCAGTTACATAAAAAGCAGAGATTTGTTTATGTAAACCAAAATAACTAATAAAACTGTTTCCCTCCCCGCCCATAGAGCAATTTCCAAAGAATTTACATGCAAGTAGAAAAGAAGTATGTCTTGAGGAAGTCAGTAATTAGACTACAACAAACTGTATTCATAGTAGTTCATGTAGTTCATTCATAATTCTGTAGGTTGCTCTATTTTAAAAATACAAGTGAAATAAAATTATTTTTGTCAAATTAATTTTACATTGGTTATTCCCAATGGCAGCTTTTTTTAACTTTTATTTTTATTTTACTGAACTTAAATGCTTGTTAACCTGGGTGTGTCTGTATGAATCAGACAATGAAATTTAAAGATAACAAGAAGATCTTTCAGTTGACAGAATCCAAACAGTGAAAGTATTTGTTGGAATAGGAAGGTAAAAGTCCTGAATTCTGTCCAACATAAATGTTGTTGTCAGAAACTGAAGAAGTCAGTTCATGGGAGGCATCTCACTGGTATGCAGAAAAATACCACACTGGAGAACAGGTACAAAAGCAACTGGCTGCTGCTACCACAGACAACAAAAACACAATATTAGGGTTATTCTTCCAAGTAGTCATTTTTGAATGACTACTTTACAGAAGCTTCTGAAAGCTTCTGTAAAAATCTACATTTTAAATATTTAAATAAGTTAAATATATTGTTATTGTAAATTCTCAATACTAGCCCAACCTTTTTGCAGTTTCCCAAGAATTGGAAACTAAATAAAACTCAAACTAAATTATTATTTTTTTCATTTCAAGATTATAAACTGACATTGCTGACTTTGTATCTGAAAAATGCTTATCAGAATGGGCAAGCTGCTAAATAAGTAAAGTAGTCGGTGTGACGCTCTCTCTCTTCTGTGATGATTTTTATCTCTTACGTCAATTTTTCTTCATCTTGTCTGTCTGTCTCTCGGGCTCTGACATACTTCAGAGTAGAGGGCATTCTCTTCTAAAACATTTATGAGTGATTCTGTTTGTTCCTTCTTTTCTTACTAAGAAATAAAGAAATAAATGTAGAGGATGCTAGAGGAAGGATTTCTTTTTTTTTTTTTACAGTGCTTCCAAAACTTTCTGCAGTTTTGGGGTGGTGGCCAGTTGAAGGGGGGTAGAGGGAGTTCTGCTCTGGGATTACTTCTTTGGCAAGATCACATTTTCAAGAAAACAACAAATATTGTGTTTATCTTTGTGTGCTTTTAGATGTGACATTAAACAGTATCACAATCCCTGACTCAGATGTGACTTATGGGTCAGTAATTGAATTAAAGATGTCAGGCAAGTCTTCCCGTCATTTGGGGAGACACTAAAGTATAAAATTAAGTTCCAAAACGTTCTCTGAAGAGTATCATAAAATATCCTAACAACTGATGTACTGTAGGAAAATATTGCCATTTGAGCCAAAGATTAGAAGAGTTACACAATATCCCCCTGTTAGTCTGTGTACTTCTGCCTGGCAGCTCCTATTACAGTTCCATGTCCATGTAGACAATCTGCTTTTTGGCTTCTAGTCCTGGCTGTACCTGTTGAATCCACATTTACTTGGCAGACGCTCCCTATCTTTCAACTTGGCTTGTGTGTGCATTATTGTTTTTCTTTTGTTTGTTTTGTTAAAATAAACTTATGAGAAGAGCAGCAGCATGCCTGCAAAAATTATTTTCTCAAGACAGAAGGTTTAGTGTATATGTATTGTGTCACTTTTACATCTGGTATGTTTCATGTGTGAACAAAACCCCACTGTATTCAAAATGTTCTTATGATATCTTTAAATTCAGTGAGTTTTGACTTTCCTCATCTTATTGTGATTTTTGGGTGTTGTTTTTTCTTTTTATCATTGTAGCATACTGATCTCATTTTTCTCTCCACAGAGATGTTGGAGACTAATAATCTTGTGACATTTGAAGGCCTGGCTAACAGTTCGGGTTACCACACTGTCTTGCTGGATGAGGAAAAGGGAAGGCTCCTGGTGGGAGCCAAGGATCACATCTTTTCTTTTAACCTCCTCAACATAAGCAAAGACAAGGCACAGGTAAAGCATATATAATTTGGAGCCCAAGTACTTGCCAGTTCATTTCATTTCTGACTTTAAGTCCGTTTCTGACCACATCATTTGTCTCTAACCAGACTGCTGGCTTCAGGTATCTTAGGATTCTTATCTCTGAATCTAAAGAAGAAGTGCCTCATGTATATTTCAGATGAGGGATGTCTCACGCAGTCAGGCACTGTTCCAGACATGTTAGCTGCACTCTGCACACCTGGGTGAATCATGTCTTAAATTGAAACAAAGTGGATAACAGACTGCTTTGTGACCCTTTCAACTCTCATAAACACACTTCCATGCACACAAGCTATAAATCACTAACACAAAAAAATGATTTCAAGTGCAGGGAAATGCTTTTCTGTCTTCAGCAGAAACTATGTTTGTGTTGCAGATCCCCTGGACTGCTTCTCCCACTAGAAGAGATGAATGCAAGTGGGCAGGGAAAGATCTCCTGGTAAGAGCTAAAGGCATCCAACTATCATGTGGATTCTTTTCATGGAAGCCTATGAATATCTATTTTATGACTTTCACCAAAGCTTTCTTTTTTTATTATTTTTTTTAATGTTTTGGATTATTTCACCTTGTCTGTTGAAAATCTCTCTAACAGATAATTAAGTTATAACCCTACTTAAGATGTAGAGTCATGACTGAGATCCTTAATTCAACCATAAGAATCTAGAAGTCAAACCTTTATATTTCTTTGTTTCTTTGGTTTCCTCTTTTTGTTTGTTTTTGTTTGTTTGCTTCACTAAGCACAACCGCAAATTAAAAAAACACAACAATAAAAAGGAAGAGGTAGGTACCAGCTGGAAAACTAAGAAAGTGCTGATTGGACAACACTACATTTGGCTTTAGAACCAGAAATTATTCTGGTTTTTAGCACATTTGTTGAGAATATGGATTTTGTAGGTGATAGAAATGTTGCTACCACTATCCAAGAATATTTTGAGTCGGGACATACTGCAAAGCTTCATTCTTTTATTCAAGCTTTCAGATTGAATAAAATAAAAAGAGAAATTAAAAACCATGGAGTTTATTTGTTCAGAACATAAGTGAATATTTAAGATGAGTTCAAATATGAGGTTAATTTGGATTAAAATCACAGAATACGTCACAGTCCCATGGCTCTTGGTAAAAAGGTCTCACAGTTTTCAGAAACCCAATGTAAATACACTTACTGTCTTGAATCTGTTTTCCTTCAAGTAGTATTTTTTTTTTCATCGTTCAAAGCCCCCGGGCAAAAAGCTTGGCTGTAAGATCATATTGATGCTGTTTGTGGCTAAGATTTTTTTCACCAGAATAGGGCAAGTGCCTCTGGCGGTCAGTTCGGCTGCCTGTGCAGGGGAGCAGAAGGGCAGTGAAGTCTTCTGTGTGTTTTCTGTAAACGATTTGAAATGTATAAGGAGACACCCTGAGGGATGGTTGTCTTTCATAGAGCCAGATGAGAGTGAGGGGGAGAAAAAAGGAAAGGGTATCCATAAATATACCATCGTAGTCTGAAACAAACGTTTCTACAATGCAGTCAGGAATAAAAAAGGATAGATGGATGTTTGACATTCAGAAATATAGTAGAAATGCAAGCATAACTGAAATATTAAAATTATTTCATGACAAAAATACCAATGAATGTAAGGTGGTACACATTACCGTATTATTGTATGTATGATTAAGTTATGAACATGACTGTCATGCAAATATATGTGCAACCGCAGCAGTTGATTTTAAAGATAAGGTTCAACACATAATAAAACTTCAGATTTCAGGAGACATCCTCTGAAATCCCAGCAGTAATTCACTTTATATTTATAGCTGCAAGACTATTGTAAAACAAACAGAAGACAAAACAGAAAAAAAACTATGAAAAAAAACTATGAAAAAGTAGACAAAAATGTAAATGTGCTGTTGCTTGAGTCACTTAAGAGAAGTTAAATATGAAAATTTACTTTTTGTCTGAATAAATTAAAAATGACTGTCATTTGCGTCACATTTGTTCAGAAACTGCAACACAATAATTACTGTGAAACATTGTTGTTCTCTATCTTTCTCTAATCAGAGAGAATGTGCACATTTCATCAAAGTTCTGCAACCTTTCAACCAGAGCCACTTCTATGTTTGTGGGACAGGAGCCTTCCACCCTGTATGCTCCTACCTGGAAGTGGGAAAGAAACCAGAGGTACAGCTTAGATTTATGTCCTTGTCCATATCTGCTGCCATAAACAACAATACACACTGGAAAAGACTAGACAGGCTTTATGTTTTAATTAGTTTTCAGTATTTCAGATTCTTTTTGGTCATGTTGACATGGAGATGTTGTAACAAATAAATATAAACAGGTTTGGTTCAATAAAACATGAAAAAAAGCTTAAAAGAACTTTAAACACCACATATCAGTTCATTTCTCTGGCGAACTTTTGCGATGTTAAACAGCGTATGTTTACATGAACGTCTGTGCATTCTGCTCATTTAAATTTGAGAAATGAGAATTACTCTCCTCTCTTCCAAATGCCAGACCTATAAATGAGAGTCTCCCACTAATTGGGTGGCTATTTACAGACCATTAGGGGAAGGAAATGTCCCTGAGAAAAGCCATCAACTCTGTGTGGATCATAAAGTGGAAATGCAATTCATTAGTGTTGAGGTCACTGAGCCACAGTGGTTAGAAATGTTGTCTTGGCATTATGCTGCTGGTCTCCCTTCAAACTCTGTGAAGAGTTTGACACATAATCACTGACTCTTTTTATCATATGTAATACTGTGGAAAAGTAGACCTCTGGATTACAACCAACTCTGTTCAACAGAAACCGGAACTGAAAATGTCACTCATCTTCATATGAAACATGGTGGTGAAAACATTATTCTGTGGGGTTACTTTTCCTCAGCAAGGGAGAGAATCTGATCGGTTTATGGGTGGAACTAAATATAGGACAATACTGTAAGTAAACCTGCCATCTATTGAAACAGACTAGGTACTGAGGAGCAAGTTCACCTTTCAATTTATGAAGAAAGAGTTTGGATTAAAGTAAATTCATGTGTTGGAATTGCCTAGTCAAATGTCAGATTTTCTAATTGAAAATGTAAAGCTTAAGATGCTTTCCGTCCAGTCTGAGCTTGAAGTATTTTTTAACTGTGTTGTACAAAAGTGGTAGCTATATCTTTGTAAGATATTGCTGCTGTCATTGCAGTGAAAGGTGGTACTGCAAAATACTGACTAAAGGAGCTGACTATAAATGTTATGCTATTCAGTTTTTTTCTTTTTTAAAGATTTTTTTTTTGTTTTCCTTTTTGTTCATAGTATCCACTGCTTTATGCTGCTCTGTCACATAAACAGTAATTGAAGCTTGTGTTTGTAACACGATGGACAACACATTTAGCTGTCTTCAGTGCATATGCAAGGAAATGTTTGATAAAAGCAAAAGTCACACATCAGCTGACTCAATATTTGAGCTCAAATCTGTAAAGAAAAGGGAAACAATTATTTCAAAACCCTCTACAAAGATTTCACACAAAAAAAAACAATGCTACTTTATGTGTCATGAAGTGTTGACAGTAACTGGAGAAAACTCTGTTTCTACTCTTCTCTTGTTTTGTGTGTGTAATTTACATATGCAGGAAGCTATGTTCACTGTCTGTGTTTGATATTATGCCACAACATCTCACTGATTTTCTGTTTTTATGCGAAAGCAGGATGGTATTTTCAGACTGGTTCCCCATGTAGAAAATGGCAGAGGGAAGAGTCCCTATGACCCTAAGCTCCTCACCGCTTCAATGCTAATTGGTGAGTTTATGGAAAGATACAGAGTACATGTGTGCAATAAATCCCTGTGAAGCCCGGTGCCTTGCTCTTTCATTTCAGTGGGTCCACAGCGTGTGACGTCAATGTAAATAGCAGAATAGGAACATCCTTTGCTGCTTTGTATTTACACACTTAAAACCTCTCATTGGCAGGACTGTAAACTTTATTTCAGTCTGAATATACATTTAAGTGGTGCACATGTGTGGTTAATGGTACTGAGTCTATTTTGCTCTAATTCTCCCTCCTCCCATTTTCTGGCAAATAAAGCAGGGGTGTATGAGCATGGTATTTCTCTTTACCCCCAATTATGTGTGATCATATTGTATTATACCACCTCATTTACCCAAGCAGATGGCTATTTTCCAGCCCATCACCCCTTATCCCTTTTCCCTTTTTTTTCTCCTTTCTCACTAGCATTATTATGTACTCCCCTTGTCTCACACTTCTGTTCTCTCCCCCAGCATCTGACCCACCATCCGTTCATCCTGTCCTCACCTCCTTTCTCTGCCCTGCCTTCTGTTTTAATGTCGATTTCACACTCCTGATGTTTGTTATGTCTTTGTTCTCTGTGGATGTGAAATCTACCTTTGCTGCTAAGCCCCCGCTCAATTCCTCGGATTTCTGAACAGAACCCACGGGGGAAAGCAGGCGGCCTCGTCTCACGTTACTGTGTTAACACTAATCAATCCTCTCCTTTGTAGATGGGGAGCTGTATGCTGGAACATCAGCCGACTTCATGGGGCGGGACTTTGCCATCTTTCGCACTCTTGGCAAACATCATCCGATCAGAACAGAGCAACACGACTCCAGGTGGCTAAATGGTAGGTTTAGAGGACCCTCTGCCTTGATTTGCCTCCTATCTTCAGTATGAATAAACTACCTTGAAGAATAACTGCAGCATTTTGAGGGTTAATTTGCCTGTTCACCAATTCATACTTTCATATCATGCGACACATCACCATATCATCTGTGTTAAGCATGAGTAAACCACTTTCTGCTTATGTCTTTAAATCTTTGTTAAAATTTTCTTTGTAAGTGAGCTTTTGTCTGAATTCATGGAGATACATAGTTGTAATATAAACAACAAATAAAACTACTCAATGTTTTAATTTGTATTTCTTATATTACAATCTACACTTTCTATTAAAAAAAAACAAAAAAAACAGAGTAAATCTACATTATCCTAAATCCTCACATGTTGTGCCTGTGCTTCCAACGTTTACTGTGAGCTTGGGAATCTTGGGCTGTAATGTGTGTGAAGTGTGTGGATCTAATGGACCGAGACTCCAGTCCAACAGGCTCAATTTATTTTTGATATGGAAAATTTTAACTTTATGAAACTGTGAATGAAATAACAATTACACAATTCCAAACAATAGTTTTGAATTAATATGACATATGCCAATGTTTTGGTTAGGTATACTCCTGCACAGATAAAGAAACTAAACAATATCCTGTCGGCAGATTCTGTTTATGGAAGATGCTCCCTGAACTTATAGACTGAGTTGTTTTACAGTTCACGTGTACATGATATATGAAAGAATATGAAAATAATTCTCTAAATGGACTTGTGGTATTTTTTTACTTCACAAAGGCCTGGAATTTCAACCAGCTTGTCTCCAAAATACTGCCTTTTGTACACAAAGCATGAAGAATAATATTTATTGTTTCAGCCTCTCCGCATTTCAGTTTTAATTAAATGTATTTTTAGTATTCCAGACACCATGCAGCCCAGAGGCAGATGTCTGAGTTCTGTAGTTGTCATTATAAATTTAAGTCTCTAGGGTAATTTGAGCAGTGGAGGATATATGCTCTAGTTTTTTTTTCTTTGTCTGGCTTTTTATGATATTTGCTTTCTGCTTCATCTTTTCCACCCTTCCTGTCTGATGCATCATAAGTATGTGCATGAGTACATGTTTATGTTCTTAAAAGAGAAAATAAGTTTTGAAAAATACAGAACATCAGTCCTGGAAAATGTGAGCTGAATGCAAGCAGTGACACGCCACTTTAAAACATTATCATCCATCTAAGCAGTTTTTAATAAATGATTAATAAACTATTTACACATTTTACAGATGGAATTAGATAAAAAATAGTCTGATGTGTTTCTACAAGTGATGAAGTTTGCCTGTCACTGGTAGGCAGCGCTCTTGCAAATTCGGTGCCTGTTTGCGCCATCTGCAGACCTAACCTTCATTGCTGAGGTTTGTTTGATTAGAGGAAACGATTTTAATTGATCACTGATATTCTAATTATTTACCTTTTTCTGTCCATGACTATTACTTCTCATACACAAAGATTGTGTTCAGTTGAAGTGACTTCATCTGAATGAATTAGCTGAAGTGAACTCTCAGGTGAAGAAGGGTGGGGTTAAATCAAATATAAATATAAATCATGTTTCAAATATCTATTTTTTGCAAATTAGAAAAGGAGAAAGAGAACTGAGAGCAACTATATACATTTATAAGACTTTAGAGAGTGATTAGACCGAGCAGAAAGAAACACAAGTATGCATCCCCACTTTCAAAACTAAATGTCTGTATCTATGGACTTCTTATAAACCTTGAAGAATAACTGCAGCATTTTGAGGGTTAATTTGCCTGTTCACCAATTCATACTTAAGTGAATACAACTTTGACACTAATTTGTCTCTTCTAGATCCTAGATTTGTAGGTGTCCATCTGATCCCAGAAAATGACAATCCAGAGGATGACAAAATCTACCTGTTCTTTAGAGAGAATGCTATGGATGGAGAACACGCTGGAAAAGCCACATATGCTCGCATTGGACAGCTCTGCAAAGTAAGTGTGCACACAGGCATGCATACATTAGGACAGGTCATCAAACAGGAAAAGTAAAAAGAAAATAGCACTTTCAACAAAGACACAAAAACAATCTCTAGCAGTTTGAGAAACAGCTTTGGGGTTTAAAAAAAAAACATTGACTGTTAAATAAGTTGCTTTCTATATTGGTAACTTTCAGGATCTGTAATTATTTTCAGAATAAAAAGATTAGGTTGTGTTGAATGTTGTGCAATCGCCTCTAAAGAGAGGAACTGAAACCCGAGACAGAGTTGAAATGTCACCGGAACGTGATATGTTGTGATGGCAGCAATGCCGCCCCAGTTCTGGCTCTGCTACCTCTGAGCTCAAGTGTCAGATTTCATGGTCCACATCCTTCAAAATCAGTTTATTTCAGATCTGATGTCCAACCTTAAACCCCTGTTTATTGCGGATCAGCCTTTCTTTATAACAGCCTGATCACCAAGAATGTTTGGAATCTGCTGTCCTCAGCAGAAGACAATCCTTTCATTATGCGAGTTGTGGTAATAATTTGAACCCATGCACATTTGCACACATTTTAATTTGCTGCTATAAATCAGCTTACACGGAATGCGTTTGCGTTTGTATTCACAACGTGAGTTTATGTTTGCGTGCTCCTTTAAGGAAACAAACACCGCTCACTGAAGTTAGAGTATGCTAGTCTTCTAACTCTACAACACCTAAAAAGCTTTTTGTCACTAAAAAAATGTAAGAATGAAGCTTCAAATCCTCCAACATGAATAGATTTACCATTTGCTTTGTGGACTTTTGTGTATTTTTACTTCTACTGGAGTTTGACACTGAGTTAAATTTTTATTGGCGATTTATTATTCATCTATCACAATTTTGTGGACAGTTAACAATAATGAGATTTAATAAAAACATTTTTATTAATTTGGAATTTTTTTCAGGATTTAAAATGTAATTATATTGTATTTAAGAAAAAAAAAACATTTCCAATTTTGGGTAGCATTCTTGCATGGAGTGGTCATATTTTTCTGCAAGAGAGCTTGTGGGTTTTCCTATTTTGAAACAAAGACAAACCTTTAAAACAGTCTCTTGCATCTAGTGTTACCAATTAAAGCAATAGTTTATAACTTGACAAAGGCTACAATACCAGACATTCAAAGTACATTTCTAAACAGTTTTTTTAAAATCAAAGTTACAATGGCAAGACTTAACTTTTTCCAACTCTTTCCATCTAAGTCTGTATAGAAGTTACTTTCAAAAGTCAGCACGTATAATGATATCAACTGTACATGCCAGTCAATAGGCTTAACTGAAGGCAACACATCCTTCATTCTGTTTTTGTTTTGGTATTTGTTTTGGTATTTTGTGGAGAACTTAAATAACACAAGCTTTGCATTTTGTCAGCTACATTTACATTTAATGTTTTATGCAGATCAAGAAAGTCAGTTTGTTCAGAACATTTCTTCTTCAAAAAAGATGTTAAATATAAACCACTTGTATGAAATAACATGTAATGTATCTTTTAGAATGACCTCGGGGGCCACAGAAGCCTAGTAAATAAATGGACAACTTTCCTGAAAGCCCGACTGATTTGCTCTGTGCCGGGCAGTAATGGGATCGACACACATTTTGATGAACTACGTGAGTGATTTCTTCTTGTCGCATGAATAAGAAGACAATATTTGTTTTAGCGCAGAAGATTTGTAATCTGTTTTGGCCTTTGTTTTGGTTGTAGAGGACGTCTTTCTCATAAGCACTAAGGATCCTAAGAGCCCAGTAATCTATGGAGTATTTACAACTTCCAGGTAGATCACAAAGTCTTTTACAGGAGATAAAATGCTTTATATATATATATATATATATATAATATATATTTATTGTGATTTATGAGCATGTGTTATATTTGTTACTTATAGTTACTTCATTTATTTATTTATTTTTTGTACAGCAATGTCTTTAAAGGTTCAGCGGTGTGTATGTACAGCATGGCAGATATAAGAAGAGCTTTCTTGGGTCCATATGCTCATAGGGACGGACCCAGCTATCAGTGGGTCCCCTTTCAGGGACGTGTACCTTACCCCCGACCTGGCACAGTGAGTCCGTAGCTCTTTTTACTGAGCTTAGAGCCCAACAGGACTCCCTTTGATTTGTGTTCCTTTTAGAGCTAATATTATGTTGTTGTTTTTTTAATGCAGTGCCCTAGCAAAACATTTGGTGGATTTGACACAACCAAGGACCTTCCTGACGAAGTGGTCACTTTTGCCAGAAGTCACCCGGCCATGTTTAATCCTGTCTATCCAATTAATAATAAACCAATAATAGTCAAAACAGATGTAGACTACCAGTTCACTAAAATGGTAGTGGATAAGGTGGAAGCTGAAGATGGCTTGTATGATGTTATGTTCATCGGCACAGGTAAAAAAAAAAATCTATATTTTTAAGTCAATTCTGCAAAGCTAAATGAATCACTGTCACTATTGCAGGGTCAAAAAATTGAGCTTTTTCTCTGCCTTCTCAGACATAGGAACAGTTCTGAAAGTTGTGGCCATCCCAAGAAATTCATGGCATGACCTGGAAGAAGTGTTATTGGAAGAAATGACTGTATTCAGAGTAAGTTGTTCTCCATGTCACCCGGTAAGACGTCTTTGGAAACATTAGAATCAACACTCTCTGTATAATTATTGATTCTCCTTCTTTAATTTTTTAGGAACCAGTTGCAATTACAGCCATGGAACTTTCAACAAAACAGGTACAGATTTTTATTCATCATATTTATATACATGATCTAAGCGTGGGCAGTTTTGTTTCTACAGAGAATAACGCGAAAGGCCTGTGCGATAATAGCCTTTGACGACTGTTTATGCATGACGTTTGTTTTGAAAAACCTGCCCATAAAGTTTTTTCTCAGAGGTAATACGCCTTCAGGGCAAAGAGACAGAACAAAGACATCTTTGTTTCCACTATTTAAAGACTTTGAGATAAGCTCCCATGTCATCACATAAACAAACCTAAATTGCTGGCTTTCCAGTGACAGTTAGCTTGTAAGCTGAAATGACAGGGAGATGAAAACAAGCCAACTAATTGACAGGTGGGAGGAGGGCTGAACAATTCTCCCTAAATAGTCGACCAACATTTTTAAGACCTGAGTCAAGGATTTTGTTACTTGAAAAACTATACTGCTCACATGAACTTGACTTTGTTTGCACAGTATTATGTATATAAAAATTACAACATGTATGAAACATTTTACAATTAAAAATGTACAACATTCCCCCTGCCCTAAAAACATCCCACTGAACTTTGTTTTTCACATCATTGACCATCTGGTTCCTTTCTCTTTATAGCAACAACTCTATCTTGGATCAGACATCGGTGTGTCTCAGATGCCTCTACACCGTTGTGAGGTTTATGGAAAGGCCTGTGCTGAATGCTGCTTGGCGAGGGACCCTTACTGTGCATGGGATGGCACAGAATGCTCTAGATACTTTCCAATGGCAAAGAGGTAGCACAAACAAACTTCTATTTATATTTTACCATCTCATCAACATCTTCTGCAGTGAAGCTAGTCAAAATTTCAAAAATGGTTGTTAAATTAGGATACATTTTTTATGACTTTATCATACTTAAAAACTTATTAGTCCATCTAGCTCCAGAAAAAAGTTAACCGGATTTTGCACAGTTCTGATGTAATGCTATCATTGCTGCAAATGTAATTTTTTTTTTACATTTGCAAGATGCTCTTCCTTCTCAGGAGAGTGTCTTTGTTATGTTTGGCAAAGAAAATTGTGGCCCTTTATGGCTGTCATTGTGAAATCAACAAGAACGGTATAAACATACACATAGTGAAAGTAAACCTTTTGACTGTTTTCTTTTTTGATTTTCCCACAGTTAGTTAGACTCCAACATATTAAATTTAATGGCATTGTGGTCAACATGGGAGCTCAAACATCATCACACAATCTCAGGTTTAGAACAATATAACGTAGATGGGCGGATCTCACCAGTTCGCGCGTTTCCATAGCTGCTTCAAATATTTGTGTATAGAAAATATCCTGGAGGTACTGACTGATAATAATCAAGATCTTCCTTAGCATCTGTACTCCAGAAAGATGACAGTATGGAGTGATTGATTCATGTTAAATTCCATCATTCACACCCCGTAATTAAAGTTTTTCAGCTAAGCCATGGGTTGCTTGCTGTTTATCTGTTTATGTTGGCCTGCAGTTTCGCTGCACACCCAAAACTCATTCAAACACATGCCTACACACACGTACACACATGTGCACACACTTCTCTCTCACACTTTCAAAATGGGTGTTTCTGCTGACTCTGCTTGTGTTTCTGCAGGAGAACAAGACGGCAAGATATCAGGAACGGAGACCCACTCACCCAGTGCTCAGACCTGCAGCAACAAGGTCCTTAAAGATTAAAACATTCAACTGTGATATTCGCTGGCAATTTTAATGAGCAGAGATTTTATTTCCTGACAAAACCAAAACTGAAATCTCAGTTTGGTGTTTTATCTGTATTTTTCATTTTCTGGTGGTGTGAAAATCAACACTGGTTCATGTGAGACTAGTAATTAGCATAGTCAAGATTCCCTCAGGGCTCCACACTGTCACAGAGGCCTCTTGTATGCCGACATGTTGCGATTCAAAGTCAAGATTCATTTTCAGCTTTAATATATTCATTGCCTCAATTATATATTTTTTTCTCCTCTTACTTAGGAAGAAAATTATTAAATCCTAACAGTACATAACCAATTAACTGTTTTCTGCAACCATGTAGACTGCAAATTTAGCCAAAATATAAAGCTAAACACATTGCAGAGAAAATAATTGTACATATATCTTTTAATATAAAATTACTACAAAATTAACTCGTGAAAATACATCAAATGTTTTTGCGGTGACAGACATATTTTCTGAACAAAATCAGTTATCTGCTGAAATATAATAATTCCAGTTCAATTCATCCCTAAGCCAACATATGCCCACAATTTGCCTCATCATACATTCATTTCACATGAGTAAGCACCTTTGCAGCAACTTAACTTCCTGCATATCAGGTTTCTTTTCTTTTTTTTGTACTTTCAGTAATTATCTTGATAAACAGTCATAAGAATATCGTCATATTTAAATTGCTTGTATGATTAATTTATATTCTCATTAAAGTGGTAACACTTAATTTAATTGTGTATTCTTGTAAGAAAACTCAAAGTGTGTTGTTTTTATGAATGTGTTCATTTTCTCCAATGAACATATTCAGAAATACCTACAAGAAAATTCCCAAAAGAAATACATTTGTAAAACTAGTGATAAACTTTTTATTTTTACCAGATGAACTCAGCGGACAGGCAACTGTCCATGATAGAACTGTCTATGGTGTGGAAAACAGCAGCACTTTCCTGGAATGTGTCCCCAAGTCCCAGAGAGCCACTACATACTGGCAGTATCAGCGCTCCGCTGATGAACGCAAACAAGAAGTAAGGATTCTTTGCTTATCTTATTCTTAAATATTCTGTCTTGTTTTAATTTTCTCAGAGACACTTGACTTTCAGAGCAGATACAATAGCTATAAATAATTCCATAATATGAAGCCGTTTGAATAAATTATTAAGAAGCACATCTTATCATTGCTTAATACCACTGCTGACTCAAATAAAATTCAGTTTATGAAATTAAAAAAGAACAATGAGCAGCATGGACGATTAGATTATTGTGCTACAGTAAGTGCTAATAGTTCATTATAATGTTCCGAAGTTTCTCATTTGCTCTATCTCTTATCACTTCCAATTTTCTCACTGCTCAGATCAAGTCAGAGGAGCGTTTCGTTCGAACAGAACAAGGTCTTCTGATCCGCACTCTTGACAAGAAGGATTCAGGCATCTATCTGTGCCAGGCAGTGGAACATGGCTTCATGCAGATAGTCTTAAAGGTTCACCTGGAAGTGATTGACGCAGAGCGGCTGGAGGATCTTTTGCATCATGATGAAGATACAGCTACCACTGTCCCAGCTCAGGACTTTTCTTTGTCGAGAGAAACTCCCAGTCAAAAACTTTGGTACAGGGACTTTCTGTCTTTAGTCAATCACCCAACTCTGAATAGTGTTGATGACTTCTGTGATCAAGTTTGGAAAAGAGAGAGAAAGCACAAGCGACAGAAAGCTCACCATGTCCAAAAAGTACAAACACACCATCAGCAGCCGCAGCAGAAGGCTGCGCCGGGTCCTCACAGCAACATGCCTGCTCAGGGCCTGGCATCCAAGTGGAAGCACCTTCAAGAACGACAGAAGGGTCGCAACCGCAGGACCCATGAACTGGAGCGGGCCCCTCGCAGTGTCTGACCCATACAGTTTGACTTTGACCACGACACTTCAGATCACTCCCAGATCATATTCTGTATACCTTAAACTGTTTGGTTTTTGAAACATACATGTCCTACACACACTGAACATAAAATAAATAAATAAATGCTGCTCTTATCTGCAAACTAGTGTGATCTAAGTGTGGGCAGTTTTGTTTACAGCCCACAGAAAAAAAAAAAGGAATGCTGTTGTATCATCGAAGATTGTTGGAGCATATCATCTCTGCTGGCCTCAGTGACATGAACAATGCAGAGCGGTAGGACCACTCCGCACAAAACAATGGACAAATGTGCCCATCCTGTAGACATGACTGGCAATGAGATGCGGTCATTGTAATGTAGTTAGGTGATGTTTCTAAGTTTGCAAAATGTCTAAAATAACAAAAATTATATACTGTATTTTACCTCACACAACAATGAGACTGGGTGAAGTTGTTTATGGGAATAAATGAACTTGCAAGTCTATTACATTGATAAGTTACACAGTTCAAAAAATGCAATGAGAATTAACGTCCATTACAAAAGTATTTATACTCCTCAAAGTTTTTCACATTTAGTCATCTCACAATCAGAAACATCAGTTTATTTTAGGGGGCATTCTTCTAATCAATAAATAGTACTGCATAGTTTGAAGTGTAAGGAAAAAGATGCACATTCTAATAGCTCTACACCATTTTGCTCCCATGTTTCAGTGTAGGGAAGAAATATTGAAGGTCTCTTCCAACTTTCTGACAACACTTTTTCCCTATTAATTATTAAATACCAGATTATGTGTGTTATGTGCCTAAAAAACTCCAGTTGTCCTCTTGACATATTCTCCCATGTGCTGCTTATCTCTGCAGCTCCTTCAGACATATCATTGGCCTCTTTGCCTCTGTACTAGTTCACCCTCTTCTTCCTTGACCTATTAATTTGTGCAGACAGCCATGTCTTTTTAGCTATGCAATTGGTGCCATACTCTCTAAATTTTTGGATGACGTATTAAATGTTGCATACTCTAACTTTGCCTTAATAACCTCCATGATGTTGTCTGTGCGCTAATGTTCTATACCTCTGAGTAAACCTCTGAGGCATTTACAGAAACATTGCAATTAAATTGCGTCCATACATGCAGAGTGATGATTGTTAAGACTGGGGACCTTGAATAAATCATTTTAGTCTTCAGTAAAAAAAAAAGAAAAATTGCTGATACATGGAGCTTTCACTACACATGAGATAATATCATACAATCAAATTTATTGCAGGATAAACATTTTAGGTTCACATTACTAAACAAAATTAAAATCATGTATCTTCTTCCTTATACTTTTTCATTTTGCTCTACTTACAAAAAGTGCTAAGGTGATGAATGTTGACACTTGTAACGTCGCATAGCAATGTGGAAAGGTTCAGTGAGTATAAATACTTTTCCATGGTGATTTAGTAAGTAATTCAATGAACAATTAGTTTTGAATTAGTCAGTGTTAAATGAAAATCCAGTTATTATTGGTTCTCCAATGCAACTCCTGTCAACATGTGTAAATACTGTATTCTATAATAATCTTATCACAAGAAAGGGAATGAATTTCAATTATCTAGTTTGTGTTACTTGCCCAAAGTAGAAATCTACTTATGAGACATAGTTTGCAGAACATTTGTAAACAGGAAAGTTTTGTACTTGTATGTGTGTTTGTGTGTCCGTGCCCTAGATAAGCTTCCTAGACAAAGACATTTTATTATTTTCAATCTGAATCGTTCCAATTTTAGCATTTTGAAAACCGCATTGTCTCACTTTCCAAATGCTGAGCAGAGTTCTTCCATGTTTATTTAATTATTCTGTCAGTCAGCTTTGTTTCTACACCCGTGCATATTTATTGTCAAACATTTCTGTACATTGTGATATATTATAAGCAGGCATTTTTTTCTAACGTGTTTCTGTTACTGGACCACTTAGGTAAAAATAAAAAATAAATTTTATCACATGTAGAAGATTTTAAGTATTTTATTAGTTATCACGTGCATTAAATGTCAAATGCATTGGGCAATATGCCAGTATACAGTCATGTACTTTTAACACATCCATATTTTATGCAGACATTGCAGTGTGACACAGTAAATTCACTGCATGTAGCATAAGAATAAAATTGACTAAAACCATCACTGCACAGTGCACAAACACAAACCCTGAATGTAACTGTGAAAAATAAATACTATGGTCTATATTAATCAACTATACCACTGTGTAGTAGTGCATGTGAATACTGGTGTAGTGTTCTTGTTCTACCATAGCGATGATAAACTAGTCTAATGTTGTCACCTTTAAGCTGTTTCTTGCTTATGCTGTAGTACACAATAGGAGCGATTTGAAAAATGCCTTCCTGCTTCTGTTAGTGCTCCAAACAGTGTACATGTTATAAACAGGAACTCAACAAGATTTCCCCATGGACCCCAGTCTCCACATGCCAGTTTATCTTACAATGGACAATGATAATTTTCGCTTTGCACAAACATTGCCCTGTCAGATGACTGCGACTGTGTGCAAGCTTCATCCACTTTTGGAAGGAAGATGAGAAGCAGCTGGAAGTGTCCTTGGGAGATTTTTAGTCTCAAAATGAATGAGACAAGCTGAACAGCAGAGTCGTGGATGCACGCGTGATAAGATTATCATTATGAGAAGGAAATATATGGGGCTTGTCGGATGAACAGTGGGAGTGAGGAAATTAAGTGCTGCTGTTGCTGATTTTTGGCATGATGTATTCTCCTGATGTAATAAATGTCTCTTCATGAAATGCTGCATTCATTAAATCTGCTTTTGATAGTTATAGGATGTTTATACCATTCTTGTCCTTTCTGTGTCAATGAAACCAAAGTGAATAACTCTGAAAATGTTACATCCAGTGAAATAGTTAATTCCTGCAAAAGCATGCATTTAATTATTTCCATATATTTAATGTTATGAACAAAAATGCGCCTCTCTCCTATTGACAGCTGGTGATAGGCACCAGCACCCCTCCCGGCCCCAATGGGATAAGGCTGTAAGAAAATGGATGGATGGCGGACAAAAATGTAAATTTTATGTGATAGCCCAAGAAGTACCATACACCTCAGAAGTGAAAAGAATTTGGTCTCATGGTTTTCAAGCAGGTCAGAGTTTACAGTGTGGAGATAATAGATTCAGATTATAAAGAGACATCCCATGCTTTAAGTTTCTATGAGATGGTTTTATCAATGTTTTAATAAACCCATGTCTCAGGGTCCCTAACCCTGAGACATACAAACCGACAAGTCAGACAAAGAGAGCATTGATCAAAATAGTAATCAATAGTTGTTGCCGAGTTCAGGTAGGTGAATTTGTTGACAGACCAACATATATTTGTGTCTATCATATATTTTGTGTCAATATAGCCTTTACAGAACAGGGACAAGAGGAAAGTCATCTTTGAGAAAAAGCATAAGTCATTCTGTTAGCAGTTTGTTATCTGTTATAGAAGACCACAACAGAGCTTTCTGGTCCTGCATGCAAAATAACATGTGTAGAAAATTAACCTGTACTTTATATCATCTTTAAATCAGCATCTACACTGTACAACATAGTTGTGGCAGCATAATGCTGCAGGTATTCTAGGGAGGAAAAGAAAGTTCAGAGAGACTTCAGATGAGTTTAATAGTGCAATTCATCTATAAATTATGTCAGAGGCCGCAAAGATTGACCATCTCTCAGGACAACAACACTAAACGCAAGATGTGCAATGCAATTGCTTTGATTAATGAATATTCATCTGCTAGTCAAAGTCCATCTCTGTGTTCAAGATGTGATTATCCAACTCAGCTACTTTCTATCAGTCTGAGATGGTAATGTGACCTGATGGATAGTTGGTCCTGCACAAAGTTGACTGAATCCAAATGCATGCCACACTTTACAGATTTCTGTCTGTATAAAACAGCAGAAAGCATTGGGAAATTTTTGTACTATTCTAAATAATTCACCATGTTGTGTTGCTCTGTCAAATGTAATTCTAAAAAAAATAGCAGATTTGTTTTACTTTCGACATAATAAAGTATGAAAAACTTTGTAAGGTAGCAATATTTCTGAAAAGCATTAACAAGAAAAAAAAGTCTCAAATATTATTACATTTTTCTTTGTGTGTACCTCAAGCAGAAAAGGGATTACTGTGAGATGGTAATAAAGCTGTTATGGGTAATGTGATGTGAATATTACATGAGATCTCTGCAGTCCCTGAGCTGAAGCAGAGCTGTTTTGCTTTTAAACAGCAGGAGTTGATATTGAAAAATGATGTCGAACTAAAACCTTTTCCTTCTTTTGTGCTTTCTCTTTTTTTCTTTCAAGTATGACAAAGATTTTGGAAAAAAAGATTTGACAGAACAAATTTGAGAAGTACAGAACCAAATCTCAGTGTTTTAAAATACTGTGCTATACTGCACCCTGTTGGTTATATTGCAAATCACACATTACTCTATGAATGTGCAAATAATTATCCATTCATCAACCATTTCTAATTCATGTTTCACACAAAATATATGTGCCCGTACAATTACAAAAGGTCTTGGATTTAGTTTTAGGTCACTGGATCCCCGATCGGCAACTCAGGACTCAGGTCAAAGTTCAGTCAGTGAATGAGTCCTGAGGGATTTGATCGTGACCTTTTCCATCTTTCCATGTGCTGTTGTAGAATCCCAGAGGTCACAAAGCAGATGCAAATTACTTTTCAAAGGGAACTAAGACGTTCTGGTGCTCCACATATAAGATACCATCTTCTGCACCAAAAAATAAGTGTCCTTAAACCATACACAACGTAAAATGAAAGTCTATTCTCAACATAAAGAAAATAAATGCACAGTGGCAAAGCACTTCTATACATTTTACTTCCATTCTATAGAAAATGATTGGATTACTAAATCAGAAAAATGCTCAATAAGGGAAAAAAGATCTCCAATTAAACAGAAATTGAAATAATAATGTAGAATGTAGAATGACAATATCATTCTACTGACTGACATTGTTATTAGAATGTTCTTGTAAACTTATGTATTTTTAACAGAGAAATGTGTAAATTTAAGTCAATAACCAAATAGTTTGAGCAGGGATAATTTGACCATGGAGCATCATTGCCCTCCTGTGGTTGAGCTGGCCTCTGTCAACGATGGCTGAGCTCTAACATAATGACGAATCTGACAAAAAATGGAAACTGCCTTCAGGCCCTAACTTTGGGCGTAGACTGTGACATAGGCACTCAGACATAATGTCAGAATAATTGTCATAACTGTCAGTTTCCACACCACATTTAGCCATTTGTGCTCATCATCATTCCTTCTAATAAACTGTAAATCATTTAGCACCTGCTCCCATACCATTGTATGCTGTTTTATAACTTTAATACTGCTCAAAATGAAATACTTTTCAAGCAAAGGAAATGTAATAAGAACTTCCAGTGTCTTTGTTGCATTTTTATTATTTTTCATTATTTTCCTTTGTTCAAAGCAGATTTGTTCTGCTTTATTTATTTTATGTAAAATTATGCTCCATTGCAAACGTTAAAATAACTCCAAAGCTTCTTCTTGTTTTTATCTATGCATTGTGCCACAGGCCCTTTGGCGTTATTTCTCTATTAATATACTATGCACACTTTTACTTTAATATGTTATCATTATCATTAATTATGATGATTTTTCACAAGCCAGATTTTTTTGTCTTCCTAAGAAACTACTAGGTAGCCTACTCACATTGCATCAAACATGTGGGTAGAGCTAAGACAGGGAATATTAATGTATTAAAAACAATCACTAAGAATGGTAAACTAAAGGAATTCAAACAATATAGACACACTATTGTTATTTCACCTCAAAAACTAATCGTTTCATAGAAAGGTGGAGAAGTCATCTGGTATGTTGCTGACTAAGTATATAAATCACATGTTAATACACAGGCAGACACTACTGTCTTTTTAAAACTAAGTTTTTACTAAAACTTTGTTCTCTGGAACTGTGGGAAAAAAGGATGTGTGTGTGTTCCCCCCCATCAGGGGATTGTAGAAACAGGGCAGAGATGTATTTATTTGACTTCAGTGACAGTACACAAGAAGGTCGATGTTTTTGTGACCTCAAAAACACTTACAAACATGCCTGGATCACAGGTGCAGTCCAGCTGTGCTGTTCTGCATCACTTTAGTTCCTTGAAATTATTTAGTGTATTTTGAAAAGCAGATTTACTCAGTAAGTTGAATATTTATATCATATGGTGTAAAGGTTTATATAAGGTTTTAGGGGGATGGGTTGTACACCAAAGCAAACTTGTTAATACAGTTTTCAGGGTGTTTAGACTGAGATGGGGATTTATTGCAACAGGAAAATTTGAAGTGAAAATAAAGAAACACACACAAAGACAACCACCCACACTACTGCTTAAGTATATATATATATATATATATATATATATATATATATATATAAAGCCTAAATCATCAGGAAAAAGGAGCACGAGAACTGAGAAATACAGGGCCTCAGGGAAGAACTGGAGAGGGCCTGGAAGGTGAAGACCACAGTGGTGCCTGGTCATCGGGGCCCTCGGGGCAGTAACCCCCAAACTGGAGCAGTGGCTACAACAGATCCCAGGCAACATCAGACATCTCAGTCAGAAATGTGCAGTCCTTGGCACAGCCAAGATACTGCGCAGGAACCCTCAAGCTCCCAGGCCTCTGGTAGAGGACCCGAGCTCAGAGAATAAGAACCACCCGCGGTGGGAGAGAAGGGAATTTTATATATATATATATATATATATATATATATATATATATATCGGGGTGGTTCTTATTCTCTGAACTCGGGTCCTCTACCAAAATGCAATAAACTGCAATTAAAATGTACATTACTCAAGAGTTAAACTATCATCTATGATTCATTGAAATCTAAAGTCTGCAGCTTCAGGATATGTGATGTTGTCATGTGATGTCATTATCCTGCCTAACCTGACTTTCTAAAGCCTTTCATTCACTGCACCCCAAGGGCAAATCTATTTAAAGGCTGTGTTTATAAAGATAGCCTTGCATTTCAGCCTTACCTCTAATCCAGCACAATTGAATAAAATTCTTCTGTTAAAAAAGAGAAAAATTAAAACCTTCTGGGAGACAAATAACCAACAATACTTTGGTTAAAAACAAAGCAAAACAAAATGAAAGTAAAATGAAGGCCAGTCCGATATTTGTCCAAACAGTAGTTTACAAAGTAAAAAAAAAAGACTTTCATCTTGAACAATTCTTACTTAATTGCCAATAGAATAAGATTTAAAAACTATTTGTTACTCCAAAATACAACAAAAAACAAAAACATTTGCTTCCTAAATTATTTATTCAGTGACAGTATTACTTAACCTCATTAAAAATATCGTAGTTCTTGTATCAGAACAGTCCCTTTTACTGACAATGTAACCGACTGAAGCTATGAAAATTTAATGTGAGGTTCTGTGTATCGGTTCTGTGCATAAACAAGTTTTAGTTTTTCATTAAGGCAGCTGCATCCTTGTCGATTAACAACAAAAGGTTCAGAGGAAAAAACGGTGATAGATTATCTGAAAAGTCATCAAGATTAAATGCTTCTGGCAAAAAACAGAGTGAAAAGCAAGCAAAGAGAGTATGAAAACACAGACACCGAAGTTGCTGAAAGGAACTGATGAGATAGGGATCAGACAATGGCTGAATGAGTCCTCTGGCTTGACCTGTGCTGATCCAGAGATGGGTCAGAGGTGGACCAAAGAGCAGAGGTCAATTTATCAGGAGAAATATGTTTGGGTGTCCTGACATTTGTCTGA